ATGTATGTATGTATGTATGTATGTATGTATGTATGTATGTATGTATGGCTGTCTGGCTGTCTGGCTGGCTGGCTGGCTGGCTGGCTTCATGAAATGTTTATGTAACAAATAAACAATCCCCAAATGGTCTGGTAAATTTGCTGCAGACACGAGCAAATATATAATCTGTCTTTGCTATTCAGAGGAGGTGTTGACCAGACTTCGCAAAAAAAAAAAAAAAAAAAACTAACTAATGCATCTGTTACTTCAGAATGGATGAATTTACATCTGTGTGAACAGATTGTATAAGACTATGTGTATTGTGTGCCTCTCAGGCGCTTCAGGAGAAGTTCACCAAGTTTGCCTCAGAAACCTTCAGCACTGGCGAACAGCGCATGGAGCAAGTGAACAAAATGGTGAATGAGATGATTGACTGTGGTCACTCAGATGCAGCCAACATCGCAGAGTGGAAAGATGGACTGAATGAGTCATGGGCTGATCTCCTGGAGCTCATGGAGACCCGCAGACAGATGCTGGCAGCATCACACCAACTGCACAGATTCTTCACCGACTGCAAGGAGGTACAGTCAAAACAAGGAGCAGTGTTTTCAGTCATATTATGTCCATCTCATGACACATTTACACATGTACTATATTCCTTCCATTTCTTGATGATGAATTTAATAGAACTCCTGGAGATGTTTAGAGCCTTGGAAATGTCTTTGTATCATCCCGACTTGTAATTTTCAATTATCAAGTTGAATTAGAACAGTCACTTTAAAGTGGTGAGTATTTATGCAATCTCTTATTTTACATATTTTCATTTATTTGGCATTACTTTGTAGAATTATTATCATTTTATTTATTTTCTTACATTTTGGGGTTAAAAAGGTCACTTTAATTGACCATGATTGGTTTATAATAACAACCAAAGGAGAAAACCTCCAAGGAGCGACTACTTTTCACAGGTTTTGGAATCAAACTGATACCAGAATACACCATACGGTACCAGAGTATACTATACAGTATCAGAGTACAGTAGTCCCTCGTTACTTCGCAGTTCTGCTTTTGTGGACTCGCTCTTTCGCTGTTTTTCAAAGTACGATTGGACATGATGCACAATTGGCTGATTGGTGGATGAGCCACACAAGCGGCATGGATTGTTTATTTGAAATAAATAATTTGAAATAATTTAGTCCCTACTGCACCTGTGTGCAGTCCACAGGTGCAGGGAGAAGCTCCCTCCTGCAGCGTATCATGACCACCACTCTCTGCCACCTGCGGCTCTCTGCCCTGCCCACTTCTCCACTACAATCACACTCTTGCTCATCACTCCCATTCTCCCTCTTTCTGTGCAAATAAACAATTTAAATTGAAATACTGTACTGTAATAGTTTAAATAAACAATCCATTCTGCATGAGCTGCTTTATATGAAATAATCAAGTGTGACCGGAACCAAGCCTTTAGTCCCCCTCGGCAAACGGCCAAGCCACCAGGAAATATTCTGATGCTCTGAATGGACAGTTTGCCCCAACCTTTCTCCTCCTGATAAAACTTTAAAAAAATATTTTGTTCATTTTGTTAACAAAAATATTTATATAAAGTTTTATCAGGAGGAGAATGTCAGCTGTCATTCTGTAGAACTCTATCACCGGTAGAGAATCCGATGCTGCAATGATGTCAGAGGGAATGGAGGTTTGGACGGATGGTTCAGGTGATATGCGAGTGAAAGTCTGACAAACACTCAGAATGTGGAGCTTGGTTCTAAGAGCTCAACTCAGAGTCCATGGTCTGAGTTCATGGTCCAAATTCAGGTGTGGTCATTCACACAGAGGCAGGAATGCAAAACTTATCAAGGGTTTTAGCTGGAATCGGTGGTCTGAAGGCAGAGCAGACGTCATCAGGCATGAGGCATCAGACAAACACAGTGCACAAAAATAAATTAATAAAAATAAAAGCACAATCACAGGTCCAAAATTATTTAAAATAAGTTATTTAAAACGATTTAGCACCTGCCACAGCAGGTTGGGCGCAAACTGTCCATTTGGAGCATCAGGATATTTGCCGGTGGCCTGGCCGTTCGCCAAGGGGGACTAAGGCTCGGTTCTGGTCGCGCTTGATTACGTAAAATAAAGCTGCTCATTCAGAATGGATTGTTTATTCAATTCAATTCATCCATCCATCCATCCATCCATTATCTTTTACCCGCTTCTTCCTTTTTGGGTCATGGGGGTTGCCTGTCCCCATGTCCAGCAATCACTGTGCGAGGGGCGGGGTACACTCTGGACAGGTCGCAAGTCCATCACAGGGACAATTCAATTCAATTCAGGTCAATTCAAAAATACTTTATTATTCCCAATGGGAAATTAAATGTTGTTGTAACTCATCATCCTGGTTTTATTTATTTTATAAAGAGTTTTATAGATGGTAAATGGTAAATGGACTGTACTTATATAGCGTTTTTCTATCTTATTTCAAGATACTCAAAGTTCTTTACACTACAATCTGTGCCTCATTTACCCATCCATACAGCTCTCTACTAGATCTCTACAAAGATAATTGAACAAGTCATTCTAATGAGACTAATCAGTGCTTTAGATCACATTCATAAACTGATGGGACACACATCAGAGGCTATGAGGGGTTCAGTGTCTTGCCCAGGGACACTTCGGCATGTGACTGCTGATGGATTTGAACCCCCAACTCTCGCATTGGAGGACGACTGCTCTAACCACTCAGCCACAGCTGCCCCAGATGCTGATGGCTGTGGGCAGGAAGGATCTCTTGCAGCATCTGTCCTACAGCAGATCTGAAGAAGCCTAGACACACAACACTTCAGTCTCACAAACTGTAGTCTGTTCATCAGGTAGTCTTCTTCAGCTTTGGTTGACAGTTTTCTCACTGTTCTCTTTATTGCAGGTTGTCTCTGAACAAGGGGTTTATATTTTGAGCAAAGAAACACAAGATTGTGATCTGATTTGCCAAGAGGGGGTCTTGCTTTAGTGATGTATGAATCCTTGACATTTGCATAAAACAAGTCCAGCGTTTTGTTTTCTCTGGCAGAGCAGCTGACAAACTGTTGGCATGTCTGAAGTGTAGCAGAGAGAGAGACATGATTAAAATCCACAGATACTGCAACAAACACACTAGGGTGTTGTGTCTGTAGTTTAGAGTTGCATTCGGGCCCAAAAAATCAGATCCGACCCGGTCTCAGTCCATAGTCATCATTTCCAAACCCCACCCAACCCGACAAATTAACAGTAATTACAGGTCCGAACTCGGGGAAAAAAGACAACATTTTTAATCAGTTATTAATGGTCTGAGACACGCAGCTGAATTAAGGGGCAGAAGATCGGAGCTGAGGGGGTGTTTGTCCTTTCATGGCCATAAAAGAGCATTTAAACCCTGCTTTTTCCTGCATTCTGATTTATTCAGATATGAACCCTGCTCTGGCACGTCTGTTTTATGATCTCACCTGTTTGGGTCGTCGGCCGCATGCGTCCGCTGAGTGCAGCGGCTGAATGAACGTCCAATTGGCCGGTCAGCTCGCAGTGAAATGGCCACATGCAGCTGGTAGTTGCTATGTTATCATATAATTGGATCGCGACTGATCCTGACCCAATTAAAAGCTCGACACTAACCCGGCCCACCTATCCAGCACATTATTATGGTCCAGCTGCCCCGAGTTTGGGTCGAGTGGGGCCGAGCTTAGGGCTCGGGTTAGAAATGACCGTTCTACTGTAGCTTAGCAACCTCTGAGCTGATGGCATTACACAAAGTCTTGGCAAGTCAAAGTCAAAGTTTCTTTATTTGTCATACACACCACATGTGGTACATGTGGTGGAACAAAATTGTGTTACGGTTACATCCAACAAAAGTATAAAATGTAAAAGAAAAACAGTAATAAGATCTAAGATATGACCTAAGAAAAACGTTAAACTAAAATACACTACGCACTAGTAGTACAAAAACAATTCTCCGAACAGCAGCACAAACATGAGTCTGTGTGAGCAGATGCGTATGAATGAACAGAGCAGCATGAAATAAATCAGCATCATGATGTGATATGCAACAGCATTGGGTGGAATGTAAACAGTTGCCAAAATAACACTGGTGAACTCTCTTGGCAAATAATATGGACGACAACTTACTGCAATGTCTGAACTGCAGAGACGGCACTTCACAGTAGCATGTCCTGGATTACACCATCTGTTGTTCACAAGCACTGCCAACCCATCTCCTTATTTTGCCACTCCTCTTTAAATCTGTCTGTTCGTATGGTCAGAACGCCTGGCAAGAAAATGCTGGAGTCGGGGATATGATCCTGCAGCCATGTCTCAGTGAAACACATAACACTGCATTCCTGATACTCTGGATGGGTCCTTGTTAGGGCCTGAAGTTCAGCCAACTTGTTTCCCAGTGATCTCACATTGCCCATCATGATCGATGGAAGAGATGGTTTGAACTTCATTCTCCTCTCCCTCTTCTTTGCTCCTGCTCTGCCTCCACGGCACCTCCTTTTCAACTCATTTAGGATGTGGGGCTGTAGTTGAGATATTATTTGAGCTTTTAAAATGTCTATCAGCTTCTCCCGGTTGTAAAAAAAAACACATTGTTGTTGTGATTACTCATCATAACAAATATCCAAAAGTAAAGATGTTTCAGTAAAATTCCTTCCAGCTGCACAGCATCTGATACCAGAGGAAAGGGTTACTCCAACATGCAGCCACCCTGAGCAGCGCAATTCTAGCACTTCATTATTTAAACTATTACAGTACAGTATTTAAATTTTAATTGTTTATTTGAACAGAAGGAGGGAGATTGGGAGTGATGAGCATGAGTGTGATTGCAGTGGAGAAGTGGGGTGGCAGAGAGCTGCAGGTGGCAGACAGTGGAGATCATGACATGCTGGGCGTTTAGACTTTAGAAAATTCTTATGAACTTTGCAAGAGTGTGGGAAGGGTTTAAAATGCCTTAATGTACATGCATACACACTAAAACAAACTACTGCTTACTACTACTACTACAGTAAATGCTAAAATAAACTACTACTTACTACTAGTACTTGTGTACATAATTTTGTTCCATCTCATGTACCACATGAGATGGTAATGACAATAAAGTTTACTTGAACTTGTACTCCCTACTTTGTGGTTTTTCCACTTATCACAGGAGGGCATGGACCCTAAACCCCACGATAAATGAGGGACTACTGTATACTATACAACACCAGAGTATACCACACAATACTAGAGTAAACTATATGATGCCAGAGTATACAATACAATAGCAGAGTATACAATATGATACCAGAGTATACCATATGACACCAGAGTATATAATACAATACCAGAGTATACAATATGATACCAGAGTATACCATACAATAGCAGAGTATAATATACAATACCAGAGTACACTATAAGATACCAGAGTATACCATACAATACCAGAGTATAGTATACTCTGGTATTGTATGGTATACTCTGGTATCATATTGTATACTCTGGTATTATATTGTATACTCTGGTATTGTATGGTATACTCTGGTATGTATGGTATACTCTGGTATACTCTGGT